AATGAAATTTTATTTTTGGAAATATTAGACGAATAGGTCATCATGCCGTTGTGAGCAGTGTTCTCAGAGGATAAGTCACATATCATAACCATGACACCCAGGCGTAGAGCAATAATGATTACGGGTTGCTGGCCGTCAGACAGGGAAAACAGTCTGAACTCTGGCAGACGACAGAAAGTCTGACTCCCTTTCGGTCGACACCGAAAGTAAACCTAACGTTAACATCTCTGTTTCGGCCGAGACTACCTCGAAGGTGATCGAATGTCAACTTTCGGAGCCGAAACCGAAATTAGGTAGGCCTATATTTTAGAGAACAAAGATATGAACCCTACTGTAAGATCATATTTACGCAAATCTCCTAATAGCGTTGAATGGTAGTATCAAGCCTAAAATCCATTCCTTCATATTCGGGGCGATTTGTTGCACAATTCTCCATAACATATTCTTTTTTTTAATTTTTTTTAAATTGAATGTAATGGTCAACATTTAGAATGAATTTAAATTGAGGGCAATGGTCAGAATTTTGAATGAATTTGAATTGAATACAGTGTTCAGCATTTAGAATGAATTTGAATAGAATGCAATGCTCGGCATTTAGCAGTAAATATGCATGAATACAATGTTCAGCATTCTGAATGAATTTGAATTGAATACAATGCTCAGCATTTCGCAGTAAATATTCATGAATTGTTTTATTACAGTGAATAAAATAATTCCCTACCAATAGTATAAAATAAATGCTACTATCAATTGATGGTAGGCCTATATTATACGGAGCGTACGTCTTATACATTTTATTAAGGTGTCATCAAGTCTCCTTGCGCTAATTGATAAGAACGCTCGCTGTCAATTAAGTCAGGCAAATATTCGCTTTAAAAACGAGTGGTCAAGGCGGCCATAAAGAGTAACTTCGAGTTTTTCAAATGTATAACTAAATGTTCCCATCTGTCAAAATAAGCACAACATTGATTAAATCTGCAACATAATTCACGATTTCTTTAACATTTTTTTTTTAATTTTTGAGATTTCTTTCTTATCATGTGATTCAGTTTTCAAGGATTCCCAAGGTTTTCAACAACTGTAGCCCTTAACTAGATGCCAATTTTCTATTGCCTATGCGAGAGGCAAATTAAAAACAAACGCACATATGAATTCGCACAGGTAGGCTTCGGTGTCCAGAATATGAAGAGGGCCAGTTTTGCATGTCACGTTTGAGCACACTTCTCGGTCAAAAGGAAACTTAGGACCCTAATTTTAGAACTGCTGAAATGGTTGGGTTTTTTTTTTGTTGTTGTTGTTGTTCCGTCGCTAGCTTCAACTGTATCTTAAACCTTGCCTTGTTCTACATTACGCGGGTTTGGCAGAATCGTCTGTCAGTGTTGAACGTTCCAGCTAGGTTTAGTTCATGATGAAGTTGTTAACCAGGATCTCTATTCTTGCCGTCGCTCTTGTGTGCGCCACGGGCTTGGCCTTAGGTACGCCTAACTTAATTGAAACAAATTTAACTAAATAGAAAAAAATATGTAATTCAATGGACGAGTAAAGTAAGTTTTCTTCTTAAAAAAACAACAACACCAAACATTACCGTGGCTAGACTTATACAACCGGGTTGGCCTTTTACGGAAACTCATCAGTGACATCAAAAAATAGTTATTATGTATCCAAGCAGTTAACACTTGAGTACCATAATTCAAATTTAAAGAATCTTTTTTTTTTTTTTCCAAACTTTATGTTAGATCTCTGCATGTTGTGCGGCGCTGACAAAATATGCACGGCGTCATGTCAACTTTTTGCTGGGAAGGGAGATGCCCTGGTCGACAGACGACAACTCGATCTGTGCATGCTGTGTGGCTCCGACACCATATGCAAGGCGTCATGTCAACTTTTTGCCGGGAAGGGAGATGCACAGCTCAACAGAAGACAACTCTGTCAGACGTGCGGCACTTTTCAAATCGGGTGCTGGGGCCTGTGCACAAACCCCGGGGAAGTGATCGGGAAAAGGGACTGCGCAATTTGTGGGGACAATGCCAGATGCGCGCTCGTGTGTAGTCTCATCGCTGTTTGACGTCGGTAAAAAGGATCAACGGATCACGTTTGCCAAGACAACTCTTAAAGAAAAAAACTTCTGCTGCTTTGAATCGTTTTAGAACCAGATGTTACAGAGGCTACTTTAATAGTTAAAAAAACAGTATGCGGACTGTAAAAAAAAAAAAAGAGTCATAACAAAGCCTGCAGTTATTTTACTTCACTGTCAATCTTAATTATGATTAAAGAAAAAAACTTCTGCTGCTTTGAATCGTTTTAGAACCAGATGTTACAGAGGCTACTTTAATAGTTAAAAAAACAGTATGCGGACTGTAAAAAAAAAAAAAAAGAGTCATAACAAAGCCTGCAGTTATTTTACTTCACTGTCAATCTTAATTATGTCCTCGGATTAAACTTAAAGGTTTCGTGTACTCATAAAATCCTTCAGATTTCAATTTAACAAATAATAAAAAAAAATTAAAGAATACAAGCCTGATTCCAATTCAGGATAAATCAACCAATCAGATCCATTATCAGATATCTCCTGGAGAAATGCTACGAATACAATATCCCCATACATTCACTAACTATTCGTGGTCTAAAAAACAGCTTGTGATATCGTATAGACAGGCAGGAAATATCTGTGTGATGAACTTGTCGTCCCGTGCAAAACTTACCCGGCTTAGGGGCTGGCCATGTTAAACGACGTCCGCACAACAACAACAAACGCATTCTTTCACCCCCCCCTCCCCTTGTCGGCATGTGGCTTATTTCTACCATGAAGTGAATTTCAGTTTTGCTGTCAATTAGAGAGAGGCCTTAAGATTCATAATTGTAGGGTAAGCTAATAATAAAATAAGTGAAATATATTTGTATAGTAACATGAAAAAACATAAAGGTAATGAACCTTAAAAAAAATTGTCTTAACATTACACCCCACCACCCATATTTTGAAACAAATACATATCTATAGCCCAGAGCTTTGGCATAGCTAGGGTTAGTGACCCTCCCCCATTTTAGCCTACAAATGTCACGAAAAATATTGGCCGAAAATGATACCCCTCCACATAAGTGCAGCCCCCAGGGCGGACCGCTTCTCCAACCCCCCAAGGCCCTGCTGTCTTTTCCTCTGCCATCGTCGTAGAGATCATTCAAATAGTTACAGAGCCGAAAAATCTGCCCTCCTGCATAGAGAGAGAAAAAATCCTCTCGATGGGCGGACAGCCCCCTTAAACCCCCCCCCCCCTCTAGCTACGTCGCCGTTAAACACTAGTGTACCATTTCAAATGCCAGTTAAGACATTATTTTATCAATAACTGTTCAGTAAATACAAGCTGAAAGCCGGACATTTTTCTTGTCAGTGTTAGGCCTCGTTTGTCTAACCATTTTAAATTCAAACAGATCTCGTGATGTTCTATATAAAAAATATAGATAATAATTTATTGTTACTGATTTAGACATTTTAAATGATGATTAGTTGTCAGAATAAGACGACGGTCTTATTCCTACTTGTTTCCTTCCAACACCCCCCCCCCCAAACCTCTTTTTCTTAGCGTACGCAAACCTCCACACTTTTAAAATTGGTATGACGGCAATAAATGTAACACTTGATCTTAATTTTTCGTTAAGTCCAACAATTTAATTTTATTTAAAAAGTCTATCTGTTTTACTCTAAGCCCACTTTTGGTTGTTAAAAAGAGCACATACACACACAAAAAGGAAACAGGCCCATCAACCGAGAGTCAAATAACAACATAACATTCTTCCTTTGTGTCAAACTTATTTTTCCTTAACTGTATACTGTAATATAATACAATTTTTAAAAAATAAAAAAATAATTGTGATCAAAATGAAGCCCTCAGAATTTGACACGTTGGGCGGTTGCCTGCCATGCCTGTGTACCCAAGGCCGGCCGGCCGGGCGAGGGAGTTTCTGATTAATCAGGGCCTCAGCCAAGGAAGCTCACCATCAAGTAGCCTTTTCGAGATCACACTAGAAACGGTTCTGTGAATCATACACAATTGGGCACCAGTTTAACCAATTGTCACAAACTGTTTCCCGAAAAGCGTTACAGAGCCACGACCGCCAGGAACTTTATGTAGCCAACCACTGCAGTACCTAGAATACGAGGACGACATAGCTCTTCTGGGCAGAAAAGGCTATTTTATGATTGAAGCGTTCTTTAAAGAATGTGCAGAAGTGTAGATGAGCATTCTTATTTGAAGCCAAAGGATTATAAATGTACTGTTATCCTATCCACAGTCCACGGATCTCTGTGAATTTCAATAAGTAGAGGCCCGTTTAGTTTTCCACTGTCAAAAGTGCATGTTACATGTGTAGACTAGGGGCTGCAAGAGTTTTCCAAACAACTGTTGTAAGATTGTTAAGCACTGCCAGCAGCCCTGGCTCTCAATAACCAATCATTGAGTCTGCATTGCTTTCCTTTGACACATCAACCACAAGAGGTTCACCGAGAGCCCTTTCACTTTCACGTTTGCTAGTCCCACCGCACCGGGTGTTTGCCATCAAGAGTTTTCCCTCTACTTGGATGAGCCACCCATCCACGATTGACCAGCCCCGTCAACCGGATGGTTTGTGAGTCTAGATCAGTGGTTTTTAACCTTTTTGGAGGTACCGAACCCCACCAGTTTCCTATGCGCATTCACCGAACCCTTCTTAGTAGGAAAAATAATAAATGATTTTGTTTTTTTTCTGACTTTTTTGGACCTCCGCTGAACCCCCGAGACTGACTCACCGAACACATGGGGTTCGATCGAACCCAGGTTAAGAACCACTGGTCTAGATATTCCTTTTTAACTCCAGTCCACTGGTTTATCCTGGTCCGATTTCCATACAACGCCATCCGTTTAAAAATAATGATTTATTTTAAAAATTTAAATATAAAATTTATTTTGATCCTCTTTTAATTGAAATGAGGCAAAACAACTGAAAAAAAAAAGAAAAAAAATTAAGGGCTTTAATAGAAATTTGGCTGGTTTATTTCCCGAACAGAAATAAATATCTATAACCCAAAATGACTTTCAATAAATAATGACACGACAAGTTACTTTTTATACACAGAAATTACTGCAGAACAAAAATATATAGAAAACACAAACAAAAGAAGCCAAATAAATTGGAAGAGAAAACTTAAATGAATTAACAACAGTTACAAATTTGTAAAAAAAATTTTCCAACCAGGCAAAAAGATACATCTTTAAAAAAAATTAATAATAATGTACCCCTGATACATGTAGCGTTTAAAATAGTGCCCCCCATTGATGCTCTTTTCTGTATGCCTTCCAGCGCTAAACAATTCAATCGTAAATTAAGCGGGCAAATTTCAGGAAATGAACTGAAATGATAAGGCCGTTCTAGCCCCGAAATACAACAATGGTGCTATTCAAGTGTGTAACAACAAGACACAAGGCAACATAAAGCTCTCATAAATCCTCATTCAGCAAATACAATTATTCTGTTCCTCGTATTCCATTCCTACATTGGTTATAGTTTCCTTTTACTCAATCCAGATAGTTATAGTTGCACGTGGGTTGTTATAAAAATCAGCCGCACTTTTTGTTTTTGATTTGGTGGTTACCGTACTAACTAACTAACACATATTCTGGTGAAGGTCTGAGATTACTCTCTTATGACCCCCCGGCTGGTACATTGGCTACCAGCTCCATCTTGTCAGCTGAGCCATACATCATTTTCCTCAGGTAGGGCTCTCCTACTGCCCTGGCTTCCCCCCCTGGAACATCTAGTGACGAACATTCGGTCAACAGGTGCGCTAGTGTTTCTGGGACCAGGCTAGAATGCCCAAAGGTGGTTTTAAATAGTACCAAAAAAAAAAATAAAAAAATAATTGTTCTTCCTTTTTTTTTTTTTTTTTTTTTTTTTAAAGAAAGTGAGTTTTCAACACACACTATTTAATAAAAAGTGTGTTTTTCAAAACAGTGTTTTATGAATAAAATTATAATGTTAACTGACAGGGCAGCTGAGTGTGACTTACGTCTGAAACGTGAAGTATGTTTGATAAATAGTGAATGAAATGGTTGTCCCTTTTGTCTTTTTGAACCATTCAATGGTTTGAGAACCATAAAAAAAATGGCAGGGTCTGTGGACACATTGATCCCGACAGAGCATCGCCGACATTCAAGTGACAAGACAACAACAGAGGCACTACTTGGTCCCTCCAAAACATTTTACCACATGCCACGCCCACTGTGATTGAATTCATGCTTTACTTTTGACACAAGACACACTACAGTTACTGAACTCATACTTTACTCTTGACACATGACGCAGCACAGTGATTTAACTCAGACTTTAATTTTGTGACACAGGATTTGCTGGCTGTCATGAAGTTATGTAAATATGTTGAAAGATCTTTCTTTCTTTTTTTTTCTTTTCTTTTTTTTTTTTACCGAAATATATGCTTTATTTTGTTTTCTGTTGTCACTGCTCATGAAATGACCCAATCGGTTCGTGAGAATTCGAGAAGAATATATGTACAAACAAATTTAGTTACAGCAGAAAAGAGAGAAACATTATTTCATTAAAGCTTAGCTCATATGACTATGCACTAAACCATGAAACGGTGCTCAAACTGTTCACCTGATCACTTCAGTTTAATATTAATATGCTTAGTTATTATTGAGGGGTGTCCAATACTTTTATTTTTATTTTTGGGAGAAGAAAAATAAGGGCCGCTGTTTTTTAAATATTTTAATTTGCCCCTTTCATTTATTAATTAGGTATAAGCCAAAGCACAGTCATGGTGGGAAAAAAAATACAATCACATCTGGGTCTCTATCTTGACAGTATTCAAAACACGGGCTACATCCATTCACAAAATGTCATACTCTCGAATAAACATTTTAAAATGACAATTTAGGAGAACAAAAACAGAGCATCATTTCATATTTCATCTTGAAACATTTCATTTGTAAAAATAAACTGTTTGCACCATAAGATTCTGGTTAAGGAAAATTTTCTTCGCATGACTTCCATAATGCTGAGCATCAGAGAAAGATCCGGCAGTTTGATTTAAAAGTGTTTCCCCCCCTCCTTCATTCAATTGTGAACTGTGTTTTTTTCTTTTTTTCTTATTTATCAACTTTATAATCACCTTCTCGTCAAAGGTCCAAGAGGAAATGAATCAATGAAAATAAGACATAAAAGCAGGTTGACATTTCTTTGAAGACCTTTATGAAAACACATGTAGCTCTTAGGAAAGGTACTCTAGATCACTGGCAGGAAGTTGGAACTTTCAAAGTAATTGAATTAAAGGATTTTATGCATCTGATAAATTTAAATGCAGACAGGGTTTAAAATTAAAATGAACAGCTATGCCCCAATTATCTGTGAACACAAAGCATCAAGAAATGTAACAATTTTGTTAAAAAATTAAAAATTATATATAGTCATAGAAGGCAGTTTACTTCAAATAAATCTGTTGACTGGAACATAAGCAGATTTTGTGATGGTAAGGCTGCTAACAAGCGAGCGCCGCCATTTATCCATCTCTGCAAAACGGTAAATATTTAGCAACCTCATATATTTCTGTAAAAAAAAAACAACGGTTAAGAAACACAAGTTGAAATGCATTTTTTTTTTTTGTAGCAGAAAACATTTATAACTTATACTTGTACCAGCAAAATCATCAAATTATCTTCACCAAGGAAAATAGGTAACTTGGTCAAATAAAAGCCCTACCAGCAACAGTCACATTTTATTTATTATCAGTTTAATGAAAGTATGAAGAAGAAAAATCAGCTACAAGCTTTCATTATACCTCTGCCTTTGGGATACTTGTCACCAATCTTTTAATTTTGTAAAAAGTTAAATATATATATTTTTTTCTTCTTTAAAAAAAAAAAAAAAAGAAACATCTGCAAATGTCTAGATACAAAACAAAACTGGTTTTCTGTCAATTTTAATAACCCACTGAAAAATCAAATTCTTTAAATTATGTGAATTCAGATCAAGCAAAGAGTCAACTTATTTTGATGACTCATTACAGGAAGTAAGTTTAATAATAAATACCTTTGCCCCATAGGAACAATTTTGAATAAAAATAAAATCTCAAAAGATTTTTTTTTAAAATGTTTTTTGCTGTCAACAACACAAAAAATTTAACATTACAGCCTGGTTATTCTGATTCATCCACTTCTGAGCTGTAATCGGAGTCATCATCCTCAGTGTCATCATTGTCCTTATCCTTCTCATCCTCATCCTCAGAGATGTCCCACTGCGGATGATCCTTCACCAGTTTAGCCTCTTGAACCTCCAGCTGCATATTGAATTTAAGAAATTAATTTCCTACGAAAATGGGATCTGCATAACTTTATCTATGCTCGTATCATTGACTTCGAATTTATAATTTAACATAAGACTATTTCATTGTCTTATGACCCTTATGGTGACAAGTCTTCAAACTATATAAATAGCAGGTGAACAGAAATGCTTCTCAATTTATTAGTGGTTTCCCTTTGTAAGTTAAATCCTTAAATAGCGACTGCTTCAATTCTGCTCACTGAAGCCAAGTGTTGGAGACATAGTTTCATTCCTGGTCAAATCAACTATTTTCTTTTAATATACTTCTTTAAATTTGTTAAAGTTTGTGTATGTCACTCTCAAAAATCAAACAAAATGTAAACCAGTACTTAAATTACATTAAAGAAACGAAATAACATTTAAAAAATACCAAATGCTTAACATTACTGTCTTTCCTGAATTTTGACAAATCATATTCAATTTATAACAAATATTTAACTTTGAATATTAGAAAGAGGGTGGCTCTCCATTTGAGAAATTTCCTAGCCTACTGGGCCTAACCAAGACTTATCAAATCTCCTTTTTCAATTGTTTATACTGCAAATTTCATGGCAGTGAAACTAAAATTACATGCCCACTTTTAAAATTCAGACATTCAAAGCTTAAACGTTGACGGGGGCGATTTGCATCACATCTTAGAACTTGTATAGAACGGCAACATTTCTGGTGTTTAAATGTGGGTGGAGGGGGCACACTATTTAAATGTAATATCTCAGATGGTGAATTATTGTTATAAAAATTAAACACATCTTAAGGTCTTTCATCACCTTTATGGTTTGGGACTGATCAAAGTCAACGAAATAGGAATCAGATCGGAGGTTGACTGTGTATTGAAAGTGACCTGGCTTGTGTGGCGCAGAAAACTTGAGCTGGATCTGCAACGTGAACAAGAAAATGTCTGGATAAGAGCACTTAAAATTTTGTTATTGCCGTCCAGGGTTTTTCAAGCAGGATCCCGTCGATTTCTATTTCATAAAAGTTTTCTCGGGACATCCTCCCATACCAGGAAACCTTGGATTAAAAACTTTTAGAACACACTTGTTGTTTTTCAAACAACATTTCAGCAAGTCACATTGTGTCCCTGGGAGCAAGGAGCTGTAAAGTCTAGTTAACCGCACTGAATTTAAAAATCTCCAATACGCAGGTTGTTCCCAACCATTTTCAAGCCATGTCATTACTGCAATTAACGTTTTTTTGTTTTTTTTTAAATAATACAAAAATATTAAAAAAACTCATAAAACCTTTTTCACAAGGTAAATTGTTGGAAAAGGAAAATAGACTTAAGAACAAGATTTCCCCCATAGAATATGGCTTTAATTGAAGACACTATTAACTCTTTCGATGCGGAACAACGCACACTGCGTTCTTCCGCCGTTCTCAAAAGCACGGACCAACGCGCTGTGCGTTGTTTCAATATCATGTTTCTTTCTTTGCTATTTCTCGGTTAAACTTTTTAAGAGCTATTTTTAAAAAAGACTTTTACATAGAAGAGTGGTACTTCATTGTTTACAATCGAAACCAAGGCTTATTTATTGTCAATTGAAGCATTATTTTGACGATTTTCTTCGCGTTTTTTTTTTTTTTTTCTTTTTGTTTTGGCTCCCNAAAAGCTTTGAAATTGTTTTATAATATTTATTTTGACAGCGAAGATGATTTATATTTAGATGCATCGCATGATTCCGATGGTAGTAGTTTTAGAGGAATTGAGTTATAGAATTGAAGATGAGGTATGCGTACATCGTTGGGTTTGGGGAAAAATGGTTTAGCATAAAATGTTTTCACATTTTATGGTTCTTTCGTGTAACTTATTTTTTTTAAACTGTAGAAACTAGTGTGCAAATATATAGTCCTTTCAATTACCTTTCATTTGATACTAAGTTTAGTCTTATAAACCAAAGAATAATATTTTAAATATTTTTTAATAAAACCCAATCTCTCACTCTTTTTCCGCTCTTCGAAAAAAAAGTACATTTTTTAGATGAAAAAATTCCGCATCGAAAGAGTTAAAAGAGTGAAGGAAATTTTAACTCAAACTTTAAGACATCCCTTACAACAACAAAAAAAAAAAGCACAACAATTTCCCTTTGTCCATTGTTTCAGCTACAGCCCCCCCCCCCCCTCCCAAGAAATTTACAACCCCCATGCTCAGGTAACTTGATTATACTAGAATGTTCATTCACCATGTGAGTACCGAAAAACCTCTTATTCCATCATGTTGTGTCCTTTTTAAAAAATAATTTTTGTTTACTTCCTAAACTAACCAGCAAGACTAAACATTATGCTGTTAAAACCCAATCTTTCCTTGCTTCCTTCAGTTTACGTTGTATTTTTATTTATATATTATATCAAATTAATTTCATGCCGGGGAATCCCTGGGAGTAGGGTTTACTTTTAACCTGTTTTCCTGGGAGTAGGGTTTACTTTTAACCTGTTTTCCTGGGGTGAGGGTTTACTTTTAACCTGTTTTCCTGGGGTGAGGGTTTACTTTTAACCTGTTTTCCTGGGGTGAGGGTTTACTTTTAACCTGTTTTCCTGGGAGTAGGGTTTACATTTAACCTGTTTTCCTGGGGTGAGGGTTTACATTTAACCTGTTTTCCTGGGGTGAGGGTTTACTTTTAACCTGTTTTCCTGGGGTGAGGGTTTACTTTTAACCTGTTTTCCTGGGAGTAGGGTTTACTTTTAACCTGTTTTCCTGGGGTGAGGGTTTACTTTTAACATGTTTTCCTGGGATGAGCAGAACCCCGGGTAACAAGAAACCCTGGTGCTGACATTGTGCTAAAATTAGGGCAGCAGTATTTCGGTTTATTGAGCCACTCGTTAACTTACCTCATGTTTTCAGCCAGTTCTAAGACACACATTGTTCAAAAGTGTCTTAGAACAAACATAAGCTCATAATGCTAAAAAAAAAATAAAAAATCCCCAATCTTTACCTATAAATTTCAGATGGCAAGATATGAATTGATGTGTCCTAGGTGTGTGAAAGATGCCATCTGTTCAGATGGCAAGATATGAATTGATGTGTCCTAGGTGTGTGAAAGATGCCACCTGAGCACCTTTTTAATTTTAAAACTATTTCTCTCTTCTATAGATACACATTTATAATGATGTTTTTGTGGCATACAAACCTCTTCCTCTGTTTTGAGACTGCATACATGGACTGGTGCGGTGATGAGCAGGTGGCTCTTTCTGTCTGCAACATAGACCCACCAGGCCTCCTGTTTTTCCTGAGAAGAAAAGTAACACAAGTAAAAAAGATAGGAATCATTTGAGCTACAATAATAATTTCAATATAGTACATTTAGTAACCATTTTTTCATTCAAAATAACTGGTTCACAAAAATCAATTTTACACAGTACTTTATTCTATAATTTAGACCTAAAGATTAGTTCAAATTTATTCCTGCTTATCTGAAAAACACAGATAATTTTGTTGCACTATGATACTTGGCATTAAAATGGTGCATCTAAAACAGCATGTAACTGTTGTTTTCAATAGCTTCCATAATGTTACTATTATTTAAACTGGTAGTAAATGGCAGTGGTAGCCCATCAGCTTTATAGTGGCAGCGGTAGCCCACCTGCCTTATAGTGGCAGCCCCATCTGCCTTATTGTGGCAGTGGTAACCCATCTGCCTTATGGTGGCAGTGGAAGTACACCTGCCTTGCAGTCGTGCCACATCTGCCTTATAGTGGCAGCCCATCTGCCTTATCGTGGCAGCCCATCTGCCTTATCGTGGCAGTGGTACCCCATCTGCCTTACAGTGGCAGTGGTACCCCATCTGCCTTACAGTGGCAGTGGTACCCCATCTGCCTTGTAGTAGCAGTGGAAGCACACCTGCCTTGCAGTGGAGGTCCATCCGCTTTATTGTGGCAGTGGTAACCCATCTGCTTGATAGTGGCAGTGTTGGCACATCTTCCAAATCAACAAAGGAAAAAGAAGCATGTTATGTATGGTCTATACTAAAAAATTAGTTGCTCCAATTGTTATAATGATCACCCTTCTAAAACCAATCATTCCAATGGTGACGTTCAATTTTTTTTTTTATTAACAAATTTTAAAAATTTAAATTTTTTTTTTTTTTTTTTAAATATTTAAAAAAAAAACACCACTCATACATTTTTTAGATTGATTGGTACATATTTCATTAAATCTAGAAATGGTTTTTAAAATATGAAGAAAAGTGAAATATTAATCAAACAACACAAAATTTTTCTCTAGGCAGTTATTTATTTTTATTTTTAGGAAGCGAGGTGTGGTTTTTTTCCTAATAAATTTTAAGAATGAACTCCCCAAAAAAAACTAGAAAAATAACACAAGGAAATTGAAAAAAAAAAAATGAGTTTCTTTAAACTGAAGAGGACCTCATCTAAAGCAATGTCAAGAGTTGTTTGTTAGCAATCAAACAAAATATGATGGGACCCGCCAAAGAAAGCCACTCCCAAAATCAGAAGGATCTCCTTTGGCAAGCTCTCTCACACACACCAACTGGGACATTGAATGGTTAGATAGACATCTTCCTACCCCAGGAAAGTAAGGGCAGTGGACCAGGTGGCTCTCTTTCTTTTTCGTGTCCAGTGAGTTTTCCTTTTTTGATTCCATCTTGTAGCTGTCCCAGTCATCCTCCTCATCGTCGTCATTGTCTTTCTTCCCTTTAACCTTTTCCTCGGCCGGTTCGGGTTTTTCTGCCTCCTCCTCCTCGGATGCGTTGACTTCCTCCTCAGACGCATCGTCAGCCTCCCCCTCAGCGTTTTTAGATTTCTTCTCCGCCTTGGGTGATTTATTGGCTTTCGGCGAGTCTGTCTCCACGGCTGCCTTCTGATAAGTTGGAGAAAAGGTAAAAATATGTCTAATCATAAAATTGAGGATTGGTAATGTTGGAAGACCTTTTAATTCATTAAATATTTCAATAATCTCTGAATTTAAATGCTTAGATACTGATAGCCTCACTAAAATATAGTGTGTAGCAAATTTACTTTGATATAACATCAACACAGGGAAAGGTAATAAACTGTGGAACCCCTCTTAAAACACAATCAGGGTTGCTAAAATCAGATCCGGTTGAGAGCGTTTACTCAGATCTTACAATATTTTTATGGGACCCACCACCTGTGCTTACAATGCATTCCAATGTGCCCGCAACACCTACCAATGTACAGGAGCCCTGATTCCATGTTAATAGCGTTGTTAATTTTACAACTTATAAAGCCAACATGTTGGCAGCTTACAGTTATTTCATGTTTTTGAAACACACCACGCGTATTATATTTATTCGAAAAAAATATTTTTTTAATACACTTTTTCTCTTACATCCAAAAAGATAATTCTGTGCAAATTAAATATATTCTGTGTCAAATCTGAATTTGTATCACATTTGAATTTGTATCACATTTAAATTTGTATCACATTTGAATTTGTATCACATCTGAATTTGTATCACATTTAAATTTGCCTTATATTGGGCTTAACCTGTGTAAAATTTAATCACAACTCTTAGCTAAGCCAGGATTTTAACTTATCAGTGACATCATGGTATTAAAACGGTGCTAAATAAACTTTAATCCCATTTAAAGAATGAAATTTAAAAAAAAAAAAAAATTAGTAAAATAATTTTGAATTGTTTTTTAACTAGATCTAATCAGTGAAAACAAGAATTAAAATTGTCCCCTTTCCAAGAAAATGTATTTCATCTTCCAAAAAAATGGCTTACTCTTAACAACAATAAGTCTTGGGACTCATGCTAAAATCTGGTTTTTGATGACAAATACTTGAAATTGATTGCTTTTAAATATCATCACTTGAACTTCTCTCATAGTTCAAAAAGAGAAAAAATCATTCTGATAAATTTTTTAAATGAATCCAATATTTTTATATTAATATTGGGCCACAAATTTAATTAATTCATCGTACAAAACAGTTAAACCCATTAATATTGCCTAACATTGCATAAAATCGAGGGAGCATTCAGCCTGACGATGACTCTACTGTTTAAAAATAATGTTCAAGAACACACAAAAAAAAGACGTTATGAGCATCATTCAAACATATTTGGCCAAAAGAATAAAAATCCTAGTAAAAACATTTCACGCCCACCCATTGGAGCTATAGAAGTAAAAAAAAATTGTTTAAAGTACAGACCCCTGTTTTGGCGTCAGTCTCAGCCTTTGCCTGTGCAACCGCCTTCCACTGGTAAACCTGTTTCGTTTTCTTCTTCACTTTACCTCCCTTCTTTTTGGCCTTTTTGCTTTTGTCCCACCCCTTGGCCTTGTTGTCTCCCTGTCCTGTCTGGTCTGCCGGCACCAACTCTCCCTGTGATTGATGAACATTATTATCCATTCATGAAATATAACGGGCATTGCCGTACTTTCTGCAGTTACCCGTTGTATCACAAATATTAATAAACCTCTTCATTATTCATTAAATATACATAGAAATATATTATTTTTAAAAAGTCCAGTGATAGAAAAGCTGGACAATTTTCCCTTTAGTTTGGTTTTATTACTTTGCATTTTATTTTATGCACTCAGAATAAATAAATAAATAATTACGGCAGTTTTTGGGGGTTAATTTTATTTATTAGATATGTTACCGGCAATGTGTGAAATCCGGCATTTTATAGAATGCCTGAAAATTGTAGGCAAAGTATGAAATGGTTTATATTTCACACATTTTCTAGGCATTCTATATAATGCCTAAGAGCGACCCGGCAATGTGTAGAACACCCCGCCATTCTCGTTGTAATCGTAGCTTGGTGGTGGAATTGTGATCAAGACACACGTGCTTCATACTCCCGCCAAAGACAATACCCCTTTTGTTTCAAGATGGCTGCCGAGAGTTGGAAGATCAGATTGTAGCTTCAGATCAGGAATCACGGTATGTTTACATGCAACGGCTGTTCTACGATGAACTTTCTCAATGGCGAGCCAATACTGCCAAAAACTATGTTTTTCTAACGGAAACTAGTTACCAAAAATTGGTGGATGATGTGAAAATGCCTCGGATGACAACTCAAAAGAACCCACGAGACTATTGGCTGCTGAAAAGCTATGATGTAATGGCGGTAGAGAACAAAAGTAAGTTGATCTATCCTGTTAAAGAAGGCAACAGTGCTATTCAGTTCTCTGCCACGGATTCAGAATTACGGTATTTGACGTACTTCACGAGGCTCATTTGGCCGTGGGACATGGAGGAAAGGACAGAATGTTGAAAGAACTTTCACACAAGTATAAGAACATTACACGTAATGATATTGAACTTTACCTCCACCTTCGTGAGCCGTGCCAGAAGAAACAAAAAGGTGTCACATAGGGTGTTGTGGTGAAGCCTATGATTTTTTCTGAATTCAACTTCCGTGGTCAGGTCGATCTTATCAATTTTCAATCCCATCCTGACAGGGAATATAAATTTATAATGGTGTACCAAGATCATCTCACAAAGTTTGTAATTCTGAGGGCTTTAACATCCAAGAGGGCGGAAGAGGTAGCCTACACACTAATGGAAATATTTACGTTGCTTGGAGCTCCTTCAATTCTACAGTCCGATAATGGCCGGGAATTTACCAACAATGTGGTGAACAGCCTAAAGGAGTACTGGCCCAAGTTGAAGATCGTCCATGGTAATCCATCCCACTCACAAAGCCAGGGCAGTGTCGAAAGAGCTAATCAAGACATCAAAAACATGCTATGTGCTTGGATGCAAGATGAAAAAACTGACCACTGGGCTGAGGGATTACGATTCATCCAACTTATGAAGAACAGGGCCTTTCATTCTGGGATCAAGAGAATGCCTTATGAAGAACAGGGCCTTTCATTCTGGGATCAAGAGATCGCCTTATGAAGAACAGGGCCTTTCATTCTTGGAACAAGAGAACACCTTATGAAGAACAGGGCCTTTCATTCTAGGATCAAGAGAACGCCTTATGAAGCTCTGTTTGGCTGCAAAGCTAAAGTGGGCCTTGCAACGTCTTCCATACCCCTGACGTTATGCAAGATACACAGACTGAGGAAGAACTCTAAAAAATAATAGAAAGCGTAAAAACAACAGAGCAGGAAGAATCAAATCGACAGATGCAAGATACAGAGCATGCTATAAAGAATACTGAAGCGAATGCAACCAGTAATGGAGGAAACCAAACTTATTGTGACGTCATGGTTACCGAAGAGCCTTCCACCTCTGGTGTTTGTTGTGTCTGCTTAAAAGAAAGCAGCGGTGCCCATACGTGCCGAAACTGTCACCGTAATGATCATGTGATCTGTGGCCATGCTGCTAAAGACGATGGAGACGAGGAAATAGAAGGTTATGGTGTTGGTATTTTGTGCAGCTTGTGTTTCAAGATACAGAAAGCTATAGAGGCTAGAAAAGAATCTAAATCGAACCTTGAAATCCAGACCTAAAAAATGAAAATAAACTCTGACAAAAAATTCCCTCCTACACCTTTAGGAGCCACTGAGCGAGTTCCTATTCCTGACGTTGGCAAATGACGGTGTGACTCGCGCAATCAGTTGGCAGTTGTTATGACAGAGACCGAAGACGGCTTTTACCGACTTGGAACTGCACAAGGAATCTTGAAACAACTAACTGTATTCGAGATCACAGTTCACTGTATGTCCAAAAGATTTTTTGAGAGTTGAAGACGTCCTGGCCCATTAAATTCCTCTCCAATCTGCTGCTATCTCTCAGTCAACGGGAAGAGGTCAAGGATAAGTGAGGTGTATGTGCAAGACCAGGTGCCAAAACATGAAGTGTCTTTGTTTGAAAAATAAATTAAGTGCAATTCAAAATGCCACTCCAGCCTTACTTGCTGCAACAAGTAGCTCGATGACACCTTTGCTTTCCAGTTTTATTGTTATCTTTCGTATTCAAATGTGTTTTTCCAATTAAAAACATTTTCTTTACGCTCTTTTGAAACTTTGCCTGAAGTATATTTGTCATTATATATAATACCTAGGCAATGTATAAAAGCCTAGGCAAAGTATGTAACTTAATCACGAAAATAAAATATTTCATACTTTGCCTAAAACCGCCAGGCATTCTATAGAATGCCTAGGCATTCTATACAATGCCTGCATTTCACACATTGCCGGTAACAGATATATTGCAAACCTGCCAACCTGCCAAGAAAAAAAATCTGTAGGGGGGTTGCATGCAGGGGGTAAGGGGGGCCGCTGACCCCAGGGGCATCCCTTTAAAATCTATAAACTAATGCACATCCCTTTTTTAGTAAATAGTCAGTTATCTCCATTGTATTTGAAGAGTCCATAGAACATGAGAAAGCATTACTTGAAATGTTTATGTACAGTACAGAACAGAAGATGCATTTTATTTGCATGTGCACAGGCTGCTGAGAGTTCAGTTTTCGAGGATATCCCTGGTGGCCTTTTTGCCCATGTCCAAAAGCTCTTTGGACAACTGAAGGTTAGCCTTGCAATTGATTTTAGTTACAAGGAAGTTAGAAAGAGTATCAGTATCAACTTTCATGCTTGCCCTTGTTTCATTGTAATTTTTCTTCACAATCATCTAGCAATCTGTGAGTCTGCAAACATTTCTTTGACTCTGGTATCAAGCTCAAACGATCAGAGTTGGCTAGAGAAATATTTCCTTCAATAAGAAAGGTGGTAAATAAAACGATCTGATCACTGAATCGTTCGATTCCTTGACAATGAAACTTTTTTAGACATGGATTAGGCCTACTTTTTTAAACTTTAGTTTTACCTGCAGTTGTATTTTTTTTAAGGGGGTGGGGGGTAAAATAAGTTTATATTAATATCATTGAACCCAACACTTTCAATAGATTTAACCATTTAATTAAGAAAAGCTTTAAGAAAAAAAAAGGCTATATTATTTTTTAGCTTCGTAAAAGGATGAATCATGATGGGATCAATTGATGATTGAAGAATGATTTGGAGATTGCGGTTCGCTTTGAAAAAATCAAGGCAATGTCTACACGTCAGGTGAATGGACAAATAGTGCGGGAGATATTCACCCGGCGGGCATGTCACGCTTTTTAAAAAAAAATTGTCACTTTTTAACCAATTGTTCATTATATATACCAGCAATGGTTCTAGTTCTAGCATTTCTTTTCTAGAGTTGAACATATTTTCTTGTTCACATTAATGTCCAGATTATCTTGAATTTTTTTAAATGAAGTACCGTACCATAAACTCTGATCGAAAATTAGCGGCCACATGACAAGGCTGACGGATAAATGTCTCGCGCAACTTTGTTAAGGTGGTCATGTAATTTTGGTCAAATATATAGTGGCCGGGCAAATATCTCGAGACTTTATTCACTTATTCAGGTCGCCGGACATGTAGAAACTTTGTAAATACAAATGCATCACTTCCTGTTGTACACGTTTTTTCTGGTCCGCTTTCCGATTTTTATGACGGGTGAAATATTATAAAGTTCGAAAAATCTGCTTTAAGGGGTTTGTCGGAAGGTCGGAATGAGGGGTAAATAGTTCTGACAAAATCGGAAGGGTTGGCAGGTCTGATATTGACATGGGGCCCACAAAAAGCAAACACGTGATCAAAATGGTCTTTGAAGCCATATGAGTTGGTCAAACCTGCTTTAAAAATCCCGTACGAATTGAAATCGAGGGATTAAATTGAATATTTGATGCCACATTTTAGATATTCTAAATTTTACCTTTTCTAAAAAAAACCCCCCATACTTTGGAGTGAATCTTTCAAAAAGTTTCTTAATGAAATATTCTATCAATTATACATTATATCAGTGATCCCCAACCTTTTTGATTTTCAGAGTCCTACTTAGAATCAATTTCTATTGTGGAGCTCCTTGTGCAACCTTATGTCTCACAAGGTAAACGTGTTGATTTATTTCCCGGACGACAGCGGAACTCTATGCAGAGCCATCAAGGCTATGCCTAGCACAGGTTGGGAACCACTGCCGTAGACAAAAGTCTTTTTTTTCTAATGTCGCCTTTTTTAAAGACCTGTTCATAAATCACAGCCTTGGCATAAGCAATCGAAAGAAATTTTCTCCTAACCTGTCTCTCTTCTCCTTCCTTTTCATCATGCTCCTCCTCATTTTCAACGTCGTTTTCAGTGCCGTCTTGGATCTCCTCCGCCAGGCCAGCAATCTGCTTCTCGAACATCTCACCCATGTCCTTTCTGACAAGCTTCACTGTGACCGTCACGATGGACCCGGCTGTTATGGTTCTGTCCTCCTCATCCAACACTAGGCGATGGAAGACAGAGATAACACTTTGTTACAGGCAATGACAGACAAATAACAATTTGTTTCAGGCAACGCCAGAGACAACATCCTCTTACACGCTCGCCATTTTTTCCAATAATGTAAGACAATAAGGGCAAAAGACAACAACAAACTTAGAAGGCCATGGTTAAGCCCCACTATAACCATTTTATGATGATTCAGGTACAATAAAATGCACTTGAAAAAACATTGACCACAGGAAACAACATAATCATGTCATTTCTAGTAATTTTAAAATTAAAAAACAATTTTTTCCTTTACTGTAGTTTAAAAAAAAAACTATTCAAACGCTGCATGGGAGTAATAAATACTGTTACAGACCTCCTGCAGTAGATGAGCCTACTGAACAGGTACTTTTTTTATGCTTAATGTTGTCAAGGGGAGCAACGCGCGGCATCAACTCCATTCTAATGCATGCTTGACCTGCCCGCCACACTCTAAGGGCAGCAGCAATGCTCAATGGGGATAGCTGCAACAGTTCTTTATTGACACGGGCTCCTCTCACAGCAGCTACCAGCCCCACAAACGTCATCTATGACTCCACAATACACTGACTCAATGGGGATAGCTGCAACAGTTCTTTATTGACAGGGGCTCCTCTCACAGCAGCTACCAGCCCCACAAACGTCATCTATGACTCCACAATACACTGACTCAATGGGGATAGCTGCAACAGTTCTTTATTGACACGGGCTCCTCTCACAGCAGCTACCAGCCCCACAAACGTCATCTATGACTCCACAATACACTGACACTAATAACCCCTCTCGACCCGAGTACTGACATTTCACATAGCGACAATAACTACAAAACTCTCAACATAAATAATCCATGCCCCTCCCCTCCCCCAAGCTCACACAGCATTCACTTAGTTGTTGCTATTTACACTTTAATCAGTCATGTAACTGGCCATGAGTGAACAATTCCAGTCCAACTCATCATGTTGCACCCACAGCCCCACCACAAGACCAGTTCGTAACAAATACATGCATAATGTGTTTTAGGGTCAAAGGGCAGCCAATAAACAATAAAAAATAAATGAAACATTCTTTAAACAGTTTCTTGAATCATAAAAGATGATGTGCCAATAGGATGGTCTGGATGAAAATAATTTAAAAAATTATAGACCTGTATCTAACTTATCATTTTTATCTAAAGTTATTGAAAAACTAGTTCTAAAACAACTATTTGCTTATTTAATTGACCACTCTCTTCTCAGTTCTAATCAGTCGCCTATAGACATTTCCACAGCACAGAGACGGCTCTCTTGAGAGTGACCAATGACCTCTTGCTCGCATTTGACAGTGGTTATATCTCCATCCTGATCCTCTTAGACCTCAGTGTGGCCTTTGACACTGTTGACCATGTAATCCTTTTCAAAACCCTTGAAAATTACTTTGGAATTTCTGGCTCAGTTTTGGCTTGGTTTAGGTCCTACCTCTCTGATAGAACGCAGGCGGTCTCTGTCGATGGCTGTCTCTCAGGCAGTGCTGATTTGGTGTACGGAGTACCACAGGGGTCCGTTTTAGGCCCGATTCTATTCACATTGTATACCAGACCACTGCTCCTCTTGCTTGGGAGGCATGCTGTTGAGAGCCAGTCATTTGCAGATGACACGCAGCTATACAAGCATACCCATCCTTCTCTTGTTGAATCCGCTGTCCAGACTTTGCGGGGGTGCATTGATGATGTCAAGTCATGGATGACACTCAGCAAGTTGAAGCTTAATGATGACAAAACGGAAGCACTCCTCATCCACAATCACACATCATCCTCTACCTCAACTCTTCCTACCTCATTTCAAGTAGGTAACTCTGACGTACGGTTTACACCCTCTGCTAGGAATCTTGGTTATATTCTTTCTAACAACATGTCTCTCGATAAACACATATCTCACATTTGTCGTTCAGCATACACCACTATCCGTCAGATCAGCTCCATACGCCACTACCTCACAGTTAGCGCTACAAAAACTCTAGTCTGTGCTCTTGTTCTCTCTCGTCTTGACTATTGCAACTCTCTTCTGTCAGGTTCACCCAAACACTGCATAGAAAAACTGCAGAAAGTTCAAAACTCAGCTGCTAGGCTAGTTTTAAAGGCAAAAAAACGTGATCACGTCACTCCACTACTCCATTCCCTTCATTGGCTACCTATACAGGCACGCATTGACTACAAGTTGTCTGTTCTCTGTCACAACTTTTTCTTGGATTCCTGCCCTTCCTATCTAACCGAACTTCTTTCTGTCTATTCACCCCTTCGACAGCTTCGCTCCTCTGCAGACACGCGTATTCTGTCCGTTCCCAAGACACACACTAAAACATATGGTGAACGATCTTTCTCTTTCTGCGCCCCCAAACAATGGAATTCTTTGCCACTACACATACGCAATATACCAACCACCCAGGCCTTCAAAACTGCACTCAAAACATATCTTTTTAAATTATACTACCCTGACTGATTCCCCTCCTCTGACCGATAAATGATCTTGCTGGCTGCCGTCCATGGTTTGTCTTGTAAAAGTTATGTGGTGGGGTGGGTGAATATACATTGCTGTTCTTTTTTTCATAAATGTATTTTATTTTAATGTCATGATTATGTCTCTTTTGATAAAATTTTTATGTACAGCGCGGTGAGCCCAGCCCTAGGCTGGGGTACCGCGCTATATAAGACGTCTTACTATTATTATTATTTATTTCCAGTGAATTTTATAAATTTTGGAGCATTTGGATCAGCTCTTTAATAATAACTAAAAAATATGACCCAATGTTTTTGGGATAATAATGATTGGTCCTTTGCAATAATTTTTAACTGCTATTGCAAAAACTCATCGTACCCTTCACACTTTCACGCTAAACTACTTTTCCCCCCTCCCAAATATGACCTTAAATTACCCAGTCTAAATTATCACTAATTATATCACTTTTGTCACTAAAGATGTTAATTGAGGGACAATTACTACGATAGAGAAATACTTTAGATTTACCCCTTTTTGTGCCCTTGAATTACAACATTTTTCTTTCAAAATTTTTAAAAAACCTAATCTTAAATTTACAAGAAAAACTCTATATATTAAATAAATATATTTTGTATTACAGGAATTCGATATATTTTGATATCTTCATAAAAAATTTAAACACATTTTTGCCTTTTTACAAAATTATACATTAACAGAAAATGGTAAAACGAAGAATTCTTTTATCTAAGAAGAATCTCGCAACTGTTTTTCACAGCTATATCAGATTTGACCGTCTTTTAAAAAAATTAAATTGTTAATCTCATAAAAATAAACACCTCTTTATTTTTTGCAATCTAACAACAAAAATGTTTTCACTTTAAAAAAAAAAGAAAATATTAACCCATCTTCATTTGTCAAAATTTAATTTTCAAGCGTTTATAATGATTGGGTTTTGATATTCATGGATATACTTCATAAATGTAATCCAGATTTGTTAACCCAATTGATTTTCTTAATTGGTAAACATATGTTTATTTGTAAAAAGAGAATTTAACATCTCTATTTTCACAAATGTAATACCATAGGATTAAATATATTGTCATCCACTTAAAAATGTACACATCCTTTTTCCTATCTCTGATATGTATGTGCCCAAGAAGGTTAATTATTAATCAAATTAATTCCTTTATTTTGGTATGTATCTTGTATTGCCTTGGACAAAATGAACATACAAATATTTGTAAAAAGAGAATGTCAAATCTTATTTTTCTCAAATGTAATACCATACGAGTTAACTCTGTTTTCATCCACGTAAGAATACACACATCTTCTTTCCCTCCCAAGAACATTAATTATTTATCAAATTCATTCCTTTATTTTGAGACTTATCTTGTTGCTGCCTTGAGCAAAATGAAAATACACATATTTGTAAAAAGAGAATGCAAAATCTCTTTTTTCACAACTGTAATACTATAGAATTTAAAAATATTGTCATCCACATAAAAATGTACAAATCCTATTTCCTACCTCCAATATGAATGTACCTAATAAGTTTAATTATTTATCAAATTCATTCCTTTATTTTGAGACGTATCTTGTGCTGCCTGGAGCATAGTGACCAACCCCTCCCCAACCCAGATTTAAATAAATTTAGAAAATCTTTCACCGGATTGTAGTCCATTCCATACCCAAACTAACATATTTTGCACTTCATATGGTTCATTCTTATTTGTATGAGGTATAAGTGGATTAGTGAATGCTATTTAGTAGGGGTGTGCCGGATCCGTTTTTTCCAACCGGATCCGTATTCTCTTATGCGAAATCCGCCGGATCCGGAATAATCCGGATTCCGGTTTCTCCCGGATTCCGGTACTATTGGTAGATACTTCGGTAAGTCAAGGTGGACTACTACTTTTTGTGTATGGGAATTTGCAATCGGCGCCAAAAAATCCGAGTTTTTAATTTTCCGATGTGTGTGTCTATTTATTATTAAATTAGTACTTTCGATATATATTTGAGTTCCGTTCCATTTGGATAAGTGTCTTACGAGAGACGCCATGTTTCTACGCGTTCGCAGCAGGTCATGCAGCTCGCTCAACCTAATTTCGCCATGGGGTTGGCCACGCCCCCCCTTTTTAATGGCGGAAGTTGACGATACTTAGGAAATATTAATATATTATCACTATTTACATCAAAATAATTGATAACTTGTGTTTCAGAATGCATTTAAAGACATTTAAACTGGAATGTTTTAATTTGAGCTTTAACAACCCGGTAGAATCCATATTATAAATGATCAGAATTTACCGTGTGCAACACGTTGTCATTGGCAACCATTCACAGCCACTTGCATAACTGTATCGTAGTACTACCTCAGAGTTTCATTCATAAGAGTTTGCCGTGTGCAAAAACTATTAAACCATTGGTCAGGGAAAGCTTTAATTAATTATTCATGTGCCAAAGTTGAAAGTTTAAACTAAGTCTAAACAGTATTTTAGTGATAAGGCAGGGAATGCGTTGCCTTATATAAACTATATAGTCATTGCGCATGACGCGATCAGTGGAATGAGGTCACAGAATGTGGAGATGCAGTCCATGTTAAAAAATGACAAACCAAGTCATACTTTAAAAATTCATAACTTTAAAACTACAACAGCTAAAAATATGATTTTGGTGTTATAATTCTTTAAAAAATTACCTCTTTTCAACTATTACTATTAGCCTCTGGTATGTTCGGAATATTAAACATTAAACAAGCTCAACGCTCGAAACAATCGATTAATGTATTGTGATCGTGTGGAATTCGGGAAAGAGAATTACTTTTATTTCAGATTATGATCCGGTGAGTCACAAAATCTGGCAAATTCCGAAATCTGGTATATTCCGGATTCCGGTTGTTCCGGATACATGTAAATCCGGCGGAACCAGATTTCACCGGATAGTGCAAAATCCGGCGGAACCGGATTCCGGCACACCCCTACTATTTAGCTATAGAGTTGCGCTGCACTGATTAACTTGAACCGCATTTTCTTATTAGAATTATATTTAAAGGTTAGTTTTTATTACGTTATAAATTTAATAAAAGTATATTTTTGGAATAAAAAAGGCTTTTTAAACTTTTTTAATGTACAAATATAAAAGCAAAAATGTGTGTGTGTTTTACTAACAATTTAAAAAGCAAACAATTGTATTTATTAATTTTACCATTAAGAAGAGAAAATACATTATCAATTTTGTCATGGTTATTAAATTTAAAGAAACCTAAGAGTTTTGGTGAAATAGGCTACTCACGCTATGACTTCATTTGCATGATTATTTAGAACAAATTAATTTTTAATTCTATTTCATAATAGTAACAACCCACTAAAAGATGCACTAAAACGACTGATGCTTGGGTTTTATTGATAAATGTGATTAGGGTGTAATTCTTTGATCATGATTTTTTTATTATTTTATTCTTTTCATAACTTTCAAACACATATAAAATAGTTCCTTAGTTGATAATTTAAATGTATTTGTAATTTATAATAATATAACTTTAACTTTTAATAAAATAGAAGCGGATTTAAAATATTTTGTGCGCATTATAATTTATTCGATTTCCGTAAAATAATACAAAATAACTATGATTGTTTTTAAGAATCCCAACATACTTAAATCGTATCTCCTCTTTGGCGTTATGTCACTGTAGCTCATTCTTATATATATAAAATTCTTAAGAGGTACATTCAATTCTGCTTAAACAGTTTGACTGACAACAGTTACCTTCTGTTCTGACAGTCATCTCCACATAGGGCATTTTCGCACACACGGTCACCACATCCAGATACTCGCTGTCCGACAGACTCCGGAGTAACTGGCGCCTGTCTTCTTCTTTCATATTTACAAAGTCACGAATGTGCCGGATGTCACGCTGAACATTTTAAAAAAACAAACCATCAACTTTTAGAGCCTTTTCCATTTTTTTCTCTAGCTCCACAAATTATTGAAAAAAAAAAAAATATATATTTTTTTTACAAATAAAAACGGTATATATAAATAACAAGTGCATGATGTTGTTTTCATTTACTGTAATGTCCAAACCTCTACTTTAAAAATGCTAAACAGGAGTTAAAATAGTCTTTGAAATCAACATTTATATTAAACGCAATATTACTGAAACAAGAATTTCTAAAAGAACTCATTAAAAAAACTCTACGTATCATAGATAATTTTAAAAACCTTTGAACCTACGTGGAAACATAAATTTTGATACATAGAAAATTCCTAAAGGGAGTATATCATTACCTTACGAGTTGTGAAATGCCTCAAGATATCAGGTGTAATGTGAGGCAACTGCTGCAAGGGACTGGATTTCTCATCTAAAGCTTGTACAACCATCTGGCTCATCTTCATGATGTTCTCTATCGACTCAAGACGAGGTATCTGCGTAACTGGACACAACAGCACAAATGACTCAAACTGGACAGGAGAATGAGACTGGAAGCAGGACAAGCTTCGTAGCTTTAAAAATCTTAATAGCCAATATTATTTTGAAATGATCACTGTTTTTTTTTCCGCCAACAAAAGAAAATAATGCAGCTTGCAAGCATGTTCACACCAATGCTTTTAAACAAGCTTTCGGAAGTGATTGGATCAAACATTGATGCATATGTCTTTAATATGTGGCAAGCTTAAAAAAAAGCAAGGCTGCATTTGCTTCTCTCTGTAAAATAAAATGTTGTTCCACTGGGATAGTGTTAGCCACCCAAGATGAATATTTTAATCCCATAAACGGAAACACTTGCATTTATTCCATTTTGCCTTTGAAGATTTGATTATCATTTTGTTTAAATTAGGTTAACAAATTATTGTTTTCTAATTTTTTAAATAATAATATTAGAAATATGAATGCTAATAATTTTAATTTGATTTAGCCTTACATTTCAGCAGGACAGTGAATAGTAATTCTCTCGGCATAGCATTCAATGATTACTTTCTAAACAACAAAAATACATATACTTCATATACACTTCATCAAATGAACATATTCCTCTATCAACTTTAAATCACCTTTTCATTAAATGAACATATGCCTTTATCACCTTTAAATCCCTGATCATAAAAAATGAAACATCAATTCTCAGTATGATATAAATCCAATATGTATATTGCACACAGCCCTAGACGCTATTTTTGTAATAAGAAACCCTCTGCCCTAAAGTAAATAACATTACATTGGATTAACTGGTGAATAATTTTAATTACATTTTTTAAATATAAATAAGTATCAATAATTTAATATCAACTCTACAGTTGATAGGTAATAGGGCGGAGGTTAACATAAGCAGAACTGTTTACTCTTAAGATTTTGGCGTACAATGTATGATTTTGAGGTCTATGCATTATAAATAATGTATTATTATTTTTTTTTTACTATTAAGATAATTCTTTGAATGATTTTTTAATGATATTGTACGATTTTAAGAGTTTGAGGGTAAACAGATCTGTATAAGTCAAGTGAAACAAAGATATTAATCTGATGCTATAAAGGGCAGCTTTGTTCAGTTTTTACTTACCTCGTCCTTGGCCCATAGCCATGGCCACTAGACTGGCAGAAATATGCACCATGTCATTGATGAGGTATGGGCATTTCTTCAATATGTAATTCTGATCTGAAGAACAAGAATGGAAAGCATTTAGCAAATAACTGCAGCTGGCTATCATGGCAATTACAAAATTGCTGCTGGCTATTAAGGATTAAACAAAACTGCTGCTAGCTATTTAGACATTGACAAAACATGAATTTGGTCATAGAGACTTACAATTTAATGCTGGCATATTTTATTTTTGAAAAAAGTGCACATAATACGCTTCAGGTTTTAGCATTATATTTTTATATTTTAAAGAGCAGGCTTTTAATCTTTTATTCTATGTCCAACAAATGTGTTTTGTTCTCTTGCCTCAACTCCAATCAATGAAATTGTAGCTAAATAAATCAGTAGTTTTACTGACGGTAGCTCCTGAATACATCTTCCATCCCCTTTTCTTTCTTTAATTTTAAACGTTATATTGTGTAAACTGAATGCAGCATTGATAGATTGCTGATAATAAATAACGTTCGATATTGCACCAGAGTGCAAAGAATCTCTTAAAGATATCTATATGACTGCATTTATTAAGTCAGCAATGAAGCTACTGTCATTTTACTACTCCCTTAAGATTAATAGCATATATATAAACATATAAGCGGGACATAAGAGTAAGAGCACTGAAGTTAAACTCAAGTGCATGAAAATATATTCTTAACAGGACTCGATCCCCCAATAAATATTAATGAGCTCAGTAGTTTCCTCTTGCCCAAATTTCTCCAATAACTGTTGTGGTGCACTGTTCCGTTAAAGTGCACTGTTCTGTGGTAGTGGGTGGTTGTGAGAGACATAAAAATTTTCTGCAGGAGCCTGAAAAATTCTCCCTACCTGACCAAGCCAAACGTTTTTTTAAAATCCTTTATTTTAACTTCTCTTTTTGTGTGTGGCTGGCTGGAAAATCTTCAGACACCTAATGGACCCTCTTCCTGTCATCCTATCGAGCGGAAACTTAACACATTCTATCTAATTTTCAGCCCCACCCACAACCATCAGTTTTTCCTGTTTTTCAAGGGGAAGATGAAGGAAATATGATGCCACTGATTTCATGAAATAAAATTACCAATAACTGCACTAAATAAGATTCTTTCACAAAAAATGTTGCAAATGCGCTTGGTTAGTAATATTTTCTTTTGATTTTCTGAAATAGTTGGTGAAATATATCGGAGGTCTAAACGCGGATGAGACATTAGTATATTGTTATAAAATTAAATAATAAAAAATGCACATGAAGGATTTACATTGAAAAACTTTGTTTATAGATGTTGTTTCATTTAGGTCCATGAAAGCAATGTAGGAAGGAAACAGCTGTGTGCAGCTTCTATTTTGTAATCCTTTATTATAATTAATAATTTTATATACACTGATTGCGAATTTCAGAGGACTAGAGCAACAATTTTTTTGTTTCTGGTGCCCTCAGTAGGAAAATTTTGAATATGGCTACTTTAAACTCATGCACTCCTCTAATATGCAGGAGTCGATACTACATATCTGAAACAACTAATAAATACATCGGTTTTGAAGCATTTAAAGCAGCAGGACTTACCGACAGCTAAAGTTTCCGGGTTAAGTGGCAGTCTCTGAAAATGGGCAAGCAATAAAGCTCTGGCTTTAACACAGTAGGAGCGTTCCCTGCTCTTTTCCTGAACATTCTGAAGCTGCTTGATCAACTAGGAAAGGATGGAAATCGTACACATGTAATTTAATGGTACTTAAATGACAGCAAGGACACAAGCTAACGAAGGTAATGGGTCGTGTAGAGACATGGATGGTTCCCAGCATCGAGCTAAAATATCCAAAGTCCCCAGCCTTGATCAGAAAAGAGGGCCGGTGAATGATCTCGCAAGAAATTTACACGCCATGATTTTTTTTTTTTAACATAGAATTTGTTGCTGTAGTCCATTGTAACATCATTATGTACATCAACTCGGTAGTAAATTATACAGGATTGCTGTGTTGACCCATGTTTCAGCCTATAGATTTTAGCAGCTATTGGGCCCTTACAATTTATCTATATGAGCAACATTTTCTAATTCTGGCTTAAGAAAATTTTACATTTACACACCATTTACACACATGCAAAAGAGTCCTGCTCTAATGTGATCATGGAATGGCTCTCAAAATTAGTTGTTTGTATTTTACTAAATACTAAATATTTTACTCATTTTGGAGAATATAAGTATTAATTTAAAAATAATATGATAGTAGTGTGGTTCCTCATATTTGAAATGAACAGACACCAAAGGATGAAAGCTTGGTGGTGGTTATTAGACGTCAACGTTTAAAGTAAATAATGTCCACTTTTCTTGCTGTATAAATCCAATACTATTCACATGGAAGCAATGCTTCTCACCAGACCAGGTTGCACATGTATGTTGGTATGCACCTAAAGCTTATTGGGTAGCAAATGGGGTAGGTCTCATAAAAATATTTAAAATTTCGAATTAACATGATGACACTATCAACATGATCTTATTTAATTGACCCTAATCATCACATTATATGGACCTTAATTATCACATTATATGGACCCTAATTATCACATTATATGGACCTTAATTATCACATTACATCAGGTTCCCAGTGTTTTTCAAACATGCAGACTTGCAAACGTTAATTCTATATAATCTCAATACCGGATTTAACCTTTTCCTGTATGAAATTTATGTAGTTTTATCCTATGCAAGTCCTACATCCATTGTCAGTACTTGATCAAATTGATCAGATAAACCAAGGCAAGTCAAATTACAAGGTTGATGAAAGACAGAAAACTGGTCTTGAACTTAAAACAGCTGCTGTCAGTTAAACTAACAATGCCCTGCATTAAATAATCCCCATATTTCTTGCATCTTGAAAATGGGCTGTGTTTGAAATAGAGAATTGAGCAGTGGGTGTGTCAACCAGTTTCCGCTGAAGATTTGTTGTATATTTTTTTAAGTGTGGGGGGAAAAAGTAAGAAAAGAAAGGAAAAAATGTGGTTGACAAAACACCCCAAGGACTTCTGAGCTGAGAAATTTTGCATCTAATAAAGTAACACCACCGATGAAAGAAAAAAACAACTTTTCAGATGAGTCACCTGTAAAAACAAATCACCCATGCAAACAATACCAGTAATATTCCGCCATAACTGTTAACTTACAAGAGGAAGCTCTTCATTGTCAGTGGGCCTTTCAATGATTTCAGCATTGTGCATTCTGTCAAACTCACAAGATGTACCAAGGACATGTACAGCTCCTACATGGGATTGTGATCAATGGATACCAAAAATTAGTTATTCAAATGCTTTTCCACACGTTGAAAATATATTCATGCATATATTAATCTAAGTAGTGCTAGGTTTTTTTTGTTAAATCATTTCAAGATAAAAAATTTTTTTTAAATATCCATTATGAATGAGGCCAAGGTAGAGAGGTCTTGATAATTATGTATGAAGACAACAACAACAATAAATATATATATGAATCAAAGAATCTTAATTTCATTGTCCCGATTAAAACATTAAAAAAATGATTCATAGCATATTAATATTTCACTGCAATAATTTAAACAAACAACAAAACAAATTTTAATGCAAGTGGTTGATAAAGTGACATTTTTAAATTTGTCTGAAAATTTCATGAGAAGTCTGGCGATGATTGCATAATTGTTTTTAAATTTTGGTTAAAAGCGAAAATATTTCAGATTATTTTAAAAAAAACGAATTCTTAGACAATGGTATTTTTTTGCTCTGATTTTTTTATTTTCACATATTTTGCCGCTTTTGTTCCCAAGTCTGCTTTGAACGGGCACATTGTAAAACAAATAATTAGTTTAAATGAATGTCAAGGTTGACCTTGCTATCTGGGGTCATAAAATCAAAGCATAAGATTGGAGAAAATGTATGAGATGCAATTAGTAGGAAGGGGAGCCAGAAAGCGGAAATTTTTTTGCAGTTTTTTTAATTAAAAAATACTCTCTGAAACTTTATCAATAATTAAACTTAGGGACCATCAATATAATACGCACTGAGGGGGGTAGTTGCTGATTTAGGTGCACATGGTGATTGGGGGGGGGGGGGGTTGAGGGTGAGAGTTTTTGAAGAAAATATGTATATTTATTTTCAAATTCTGCAACAAGTATCTTGAAATTCTAACTGCTGTTCACCAATAAATTGATTTTACTGTTGCTTTTTTATTTTGGGTAAGGAGGGACAAAGCTAATTTGAATGCAGGCAGTGGGGTTATGTCCAAAAAAAGTACATGTAAGGGGGGTTGGTATCAAAATGTGATTTTTTTAAATATTTTTTTTCGAGTACTTATTTTACAGATGACCTTTTTACTCAAGGCTACACTTACGTTTTAAGATCATGTTAGGCGTTCGATTTATGAAGTAGTAATAAATTTTTGTTGTTTCCAGCAGCACTTGATCTCCACTGAACTTGATGGACTGGTACCACCAGACACCCTGGCCAATGAAAGGTCAGTTCATTAATTTAACATGAAAAAAAAGCTTAATTGCATTTGCATCTGATGAGGGCTTGAAAACACCAAGCCAATGCAAAGGGACCTCCTTCTTAAATTCTCTAATATCCTTAATTAACATCATTGGTGTTTTTCAGTGATAAAAAAAATTATGATTAAAAAGAGAACATAGTTAAGGATCTGTGAGAATTAAGCTAAACCACGGACTTACCACAACCACTGGCAATATGATCATGAACACCAAGCCATACACAGCCAAAACCTAGACCATTGAGAAAAAAAAAATGTAGTACAACTATTTAGCTATATATAGCTACAGATAACGTTTGAACTAAAAAAATGCATTTAAAAACATTTAAAACATAACAGCGTTGAAGCATTTTTCATGACTTATTCAGTTAACTTCAACATAAACATATTGATAGTTCTGTTACTTACCCACATCGAATTTTCTCTTTCAACAATCCATTTTGGCAAAGCTATTCCAAATCGAGTGGCTGAAAGGGTCATTAGAAGTAGTTTGTAAGCGTTAAATCTTTTGACCCTTTTGTGGAAGAAATTTATACTATCTATCGCAATAAGCCCATATAGGCCAAAATATTAGCAAATATTCTTCAAAATAATAAGCTGGATTTGTAGTAGTGTCGATTATGAGGTGCGGAATAAAGCAGTAAAATATGCTCTTAATAAAATCTCTTTGAAAGTGGATTTTAAAAATATGTTCACCTTCTGGTCCATCTGGATTGCCATATTCCTCCCAATTTTTTCTGGATTCTTCATCTGTTAGCCTGCCAAAGAAAAGTTATGTGTGACTTGCATAGCCAAACAGCAAAGAACATTTAGCTCCTATTCTTTCTAAACATTGATTAAAACCTGTAAGTAGTAAGAAGACCCACAACCCTCGGGGGAAAAAAGATCTTACGCTGCATATGCTTTCGCTATCCTCATGAACTTCTTAGGATCTCCGGTTTCTCTATCAGGGTGATATATTTTACTCAGTTGTCTGTAGGCACGTTTGATTTCTGCTGTAGCTGCACCCTGTGGATTTTTAAAGCAATTTTTAAGAAATAAATAACAAAGTGTTGACAATAATAAATAAGTATGCATAAAACAAATAAATCATGAATAATTATAAAATAATTACAGATTTGTTAGCTTCAAACATACCCGATCGATGCCGAGCTCTAAAAAGGGGTCGTACTCTACATAATCTAATTGGATTATGGAAACTTTCCATGCTAGTAGAATAAAAATCACCCAACCGATCGCCAAAATGATCTTACTGAAAGTAAAGAAAAGATGTGGCATTTGAATTATCATTGAATGTATAAAGTAATTATCTTGATGAGCACTGGAAAACGTAAAGAACTAGGAAACAAAAGGGGACTAATTTATACCTCTGTAGGAACAAAATAAAAAAGATGTCTGGTCTTCTAAAACAGGCCTGCACAACTCAAAATGTCAGGCGGGCCATAATACGTTATGAACAACTTGTGCGGGCCGTAATACTTTATGAAAAGCTTGAGCGGGCCGAAAGATGATAGGACAGTGGGAAAGCTATTAAGAAAATAATAATAATAAATAATTTTTCTTTACTTCGCGGGCGGCCAAGTGGGTGCTGGCGGGCCACTTGCGGCCCGCATAATGTGCAGGCCTTTTCTAAAACATCCCAAGACTATGCTATTACAGTTTTTTTTTTTTTTATTAAAACGTTTTATTCAACAAGAGACTGGCAACCTTTTTTGACTGAAGAGCCATTTTATAAATTATATCTGAGATCTGTTAAGAAAATCTTTAGTTGGTTGTAGGCAGGGTCAGAATGGGAGCGCAAATGTGCACAAGACACATGGAGCAATATTTCACTTCCGTTACTTTAAATTTAAAAGCTACATTAATAAAAATATTTTATTTTAATTATTTATTCACTTTTTTTTATTTTTTTATTTTCTTGTGCTGAAAACACATGGAAACAAAATATTACACAAACTTTAAATAATATTTTCTCTAAATGAAAAAAAACATATACGTTTATCCTGTTATACTTTCAAATCATTTGTATAAAATCAAATTTAAATTATAAATGACGAGTTACGATAATATATTGAAATGTACTCTCAAATTTAATAACTTTTTTATGGTTTCTATTTTATTTTTTTAACTGCCAAGCTTTAAAAGCTTTTAAAATTAAGCATAATATATTTTTAACAATGGTACTTACATAACTGTGGGTTTAATAGTTGCTTTTTCCTTTGCTAAAGTTTCTTGTTTTATAAGGCAGGGTGGACACTGGCATTTTCGTTTTTTATCGTCGACTCCTATGAATAAATAAAAAATACAATATGGTTTTAGAGAATTTCTCGATGTGCAATTTGAGTGCTTTTAATTACACACACACACAACCCTGACACAAAGATTAACATTACAAAATACACTGAACTCTTGAAATAGCCCACAAGGTTCAATGGTTGACACATGATTTGGTTGAACTGCAGCCTGAAGTGAACAATGGGTCCTGAAAAAACTGATGCTTTATAAATATCAGTATGAGAATAGCATAAGTTTCATTTTATATGTAATAATAATTTTGTGTCACTGCTTATCTAAATAACCTTTAATGATTTAACGGTGCTGAGTGGCCCAGTGATTTTAAACTGAGTGGCCAAGCTTGTGGACCGGAGTTCAATCCAAAGTAAAAAGACTTGACTAGAAAAAACACTGTTGTCATCTACTGCATCCTGGTCAATTTCCAGTCGTCTTGACTAAGTCTTGCCATTGGAACAAATAGGCAAGGACGAGAGAGTAATGGCTTTTACTCAAGTCCAAGCCTTGGTCATGTCATATTTGCACAGGAGGACAAACAACAATGATCTTATTTTGCATTCTATTGTTTTGGTCAGTCCCTGAAATATCCTATGAGCAGGTTAGGATATAGTGCAAATTTTCCACAAAAGCAAGTAAAATCAAAGGTCCATTGTACAAAAGAGGCATTATTCAATTCAGATTCAAAAACAGTTGTATTTCAAGCTTCCTTTAGGCAATAATTATATCTTGAAGTTGAGGTTAGATGGATTTTAGGCATTTCTAATGTACATTAATGATGGTTATAATTAGGTTGTATAGTTGATGTTAGGCGTTAGTTCAGCATTGGGTAAATTTTTCTATTGGTCAAGCTGGCAGAGAATGGTAAAAAAACTTAACGCCATAATAAATAATTGATAGATAAATCTGGATCACTTAATAAACAAACTGCGCAATAAATTCATGAAGTACAAACTATGTAAATGCATACCAAAAACTGTGTATCTAGTTAATATTGTGAATAATCTGAACCTAAGTTAAAAAGGAGAACAATGTGATGCATCATCTGGGCAACATTTTTGACCAAACGCAGAGGTTTTCGTGACAGCAGTGCATCACAATAGTGCAGTTAGAGTCATAACAAAATAATGTCTTGGAAAGAGCCCAAAAAAAACCCCCCATTAAAAATTGTTAGGTGGTAGCCCAAGTAATAGATAACTAGCTAATAATATGCTTGTTAAGCAAAAGTCGGATGTGACCACCTGTAGAAAAAAAAAACTATATGGATTGGAATGGAAAAGAAAAATATGTCATAAAATAAACAGAAACACTCTCTCCTGGCAGGGTCATATAACAAATGTGTTACAAGCTAATACAAGACACAGATCCCTACATTTTTAAAATATCTTGATACCAAACCAATTATTAGTTACATTATGTCAAAATATTATGGCTTAAGCTTTACTAATGCCTTGCTCTTAAGCCAGTGTTTCCAAACCTTTTTGCCCCCAATGAGCACCTAAGGTTAGAACGGTTACAAAAGCAACACACCACCCCTTTTTTTAACAATACCAGGCCCCAACGGTTCTGTCAGGAAAAATGAACATTAATTCCGCTGGCTGCATGTTAAATTCTTAAACTCCTTAAATTCAACAATTAGCCTATTGATTGTGTTGCAACAAATAGCATGACAAACAGTTACCAATAACAGTTAAGTTGTTAACTTTAAGAACATCATTCATAATCATGTCCCTCACCCCAACACCCTCAACCAACTTTAGTAAAATCAATATAACAGATACAATTACTAATGACTATTCGCTAATACTAACGGCAAATATTGGCGAAACATACTGATAACTCATACATCGGAATGTCCCCCTTAAATAATCTTCTACTTTTTGTGCTTTAGGAAACACTGACCAGTGCCATTTAAATTTAGCACCAAATTTGGCCTGTAGCCTACCAGTTAGTGTACTTATAACACTTATGTCCTAGTACTGGTTTTGTAGTTAGAAGTAGCGACGGCGAAGGACTCTTATACACACAGTCACAGTACAGGGGTTTGACAACTGATTGGGTTGGGAATTGTGACTTTAACTTTGTTGATGACATGACATGATGATTCATCATTTGTCACAAGTCATAAGACTTATCTGTTATTGGGTCTTTGGTATCTTGTTTTCCTTATTTAGTAATCAGACGCATCATCATAGGTCAATCGCTGTCCGTATTTTTTATTTTATTTTAAAAAGTCGACTATTATTCCTTGCCGGGACAATACGACACGTAGACGTGAATTATCGTGTTTTAAAAACTAGACAACATAATTTAAACATAAAACATTAATCTTGCATAAATTACCGGCATCTTGTTTTGATGGCCATAAAAAATATGTTGCCGGAATGAGCAATAGGGCCCAGAAGGACAATAAGAAATAAAAAAATGTCCCCCCTTCCTCATCATACTCAAATTGCATGCCTGCCATACTGACAAGTCTTAAGATTTAGTCCATTACAAATTTTTACGGTTGCTCTAGTTACCGTAAGTTAAAAACTTATTGTTGTTGATGTCTTGATGACAAAGTGAAGCAAAAAATACATTATAAAAAAATTGGGTATAAGTTGCTTGTAGATAGTTTAAATGAAAAATATTTTTTAATCCTTAAATTTATAATTTTTCAGAAATGAGTCAAGTATGGGAACTGATCAGGCATTGTTGCCTCAATTTGTGTGTCTTTAAAATTACACGTTTCTTCTCGCAGCGGCGTACCTTGACTAAATGCCGCCTGGGGGAGAACCCCCCCCCAAATTGCGTCCGCAACACGGAAGATTATCACATTTACATAGTATGGAATTTTGCGAATAAGTTTCGATAATTTTAAGTTTAAGTCTATTAAATGACAGTTTATTCATTTGAATATTTATTATAAAGGATTTTTAATCATTCGTAAATTTACGGTCAGTCTGTGCCGTAGAAAAATCGTCATAAAATGACTTTGGGGTCATCCATAAATGACGTCACTTGTCGTTTTTTTACATATTCGTCAGAAATATTCAACAAAAAAAAATGAGTTTCCCCTCTCAAATATAACGTCATAAACATTTGTGCACCACCCCCACCCCCAACCCCATTATAGATAAATTCATCCGTCCTTAACTAACCTTTAAAAAATTCACCTCCCATGGAAATTAAATTACTGCCCTTGTGTCAGAAATATTTCCCTAGAAGAGTAGTTTTTAACCAGGGGTCAACGCACCACCTAAGGTGCCAAAGATCAAGAAAGTGAATTTAATGCCCTACTAATTGTTACTGCTTTAAACCAAAAAAAAAAAAAACACAACACATTAACAAACAAAAACTTACAAAAAACCTATTTTTACGCATTTTATTTGCAGCAGTAGGCCCTAAATGTTTTTCTGGTGAATTTTGTTTGCGCCACAAATTACGTAACGCTAAAAATGACCTTTATAGACAACCCCCCCCCCCCCCCCCAACATCTTATTTCCCCCCCCCCCCCCCCCCCATTTATTTGCAGCAGTAGGCCCTAAATGTTTTTCTGGTGAATTTTGTTTGCCCCACAAATTACGTAACGCTAAAAATGACCTTTATAGACAACCCCCCCCCCCGTCACAAATTCTTTAATGCCCCCTCCCCAAGTGTCACGTTACTCCTAAAAAGAATCAAAAATACCTAAAATTTGCATAAATAAACTAAGATTTTATTTTATTCTTTAACATTTTCCCATGATGGATTAAGATGTTGTACTATTAGAAAACTGTGACGCGAAACAACGAAGTCATCCACAAGCCGAATGTAAAGTGGCCACAAAAGTAGATTTTTCAAAATTATAAAATTTTAGATTTAAAAAGAAAACAAAACAAAAAATAATAATAATCGTAATGTCACAATTTTTTTACCCTCCTCCCACCTGTAACAGATTCTCGACCCCTCCTCCCCCTGAGTTTGACGTAAGTTGTGAACGACACCTTACTTGTATTGGTATTATTTTTAATTAACTAATGTTGATAAGAGTAATAAAACGACAGTAACTAAATTATACTAATTTTTAAAAATTTCATTCCTATATAATGTATGCGGGGGGAGGGGGAGGCGCGAAAAATGTTTTTACATCGAGTGGGGAGGCACCGCTGTGAAATGGTTAAGAATCCCTGCACCTTGAACTTAATCTAAGATCCCCCCCCCCTCTTACCTCTGTCAACCATTAATTTTTTTAGTTCCATGCCACTTCACGTGGTATCTTTAAATATGACTCCCGTCTTCACATTTTGACATAAATTCTCATGACTGTCAATGTCGCTCCACCCATATGCTCCTCCTCCGCGATGGCCTGCAACTTTATCAGAGGGCATTTTTTCAGACCTCACACACCTGTAGTGAGTCTCTCGGTGATTATAGAATTAAAATAATTATAATTATTAATATAAAAGAATAATGTTTAAAAATGCCTGTAATTTAGTGTTATTTAGTGCAATATTTTTTTCAATGATGTTCCGCTTTTATTGTGACTTCACATTGCTTAGCCCTCACCCCCTCCTCCACCCTCTCGGCACACATCGTCCCGTCACAAAAATGTGACCCCTCTCGTCTTTGGACGCTTGACTTCATTCATGGATGGCCCCTTTCCTTAAACGACTCTTACACAGGGGTCACCCAAGACCATCGGAAAACATAATTATGTATGAAGTAGCAATGAAAATAATTTTATGGTTTGAAGGTCACCAAAACACGAGGAACAGTAATAAAGGGTTGAGAGCCACTGAGTTAAAGCTACATGAGATAAGGTTGCAACCAGAGGTACTGACCACCAGAGGAGTTAACCACCAGAATAGCTATCCACCAGAGCAGCCAACCACGAGAGCAGCTAGTCACGAGAGCAGCTAGCCACGAGAGCAGCTAGCCACTCGAGCAGCTAACCACATGAGTTGCTAACCACAAGAGCAGCTAACCACGAGAGCAGCTAACCAAGAGTAGCTAAGCACCCGAGCAGTTCACCACCAGAATTGTTAACCACCGGCGTAGCTAGCCACGAGAGTAGCTAACCACCAGAGTAGCTAACCCCAAGATTAGCTAACCCCAAGATTAGCTAACCCCAAGATTAGCTAACTACCAGAGTAGCTAACCCCAAGATTAGCTAACCACCAGAGTAGCTAACCACCAGAGTAGCTAACCACCAGAGTAGCTAACCCCAAGATTAGCTAACCACCAGAGTAGCTAACCAGCAGAGTAGCTAACCCAAAGATTAGCTAACCACCAGAGTAGCTAACCCCAAGATTAGCTAACCACCAGAGTAGCTATCCACCTGAGTAGCTAACCCCAAGATTAGCTAACCACCAGAGTAGCTAACCACCAGAGTAGCTAACCCCAAGATTAGCTAACCACCAGAGTAGCTAACCACGAGAATAGCTAACCACCAGCGTAGCTAAC